TGAAAAGAAATAATAACAAGACTAACTACGAGGCTCTCTAAAAGTAACTAACCTCACCGCGTTTTATAATACCGCTGCTAATTCAGCAAACTTTGAATATCACGTTGAACGAATAACAATTCTCCGACGCAAGCACACAGGCCGAAACGCGGGGTTCTTCAATTTCTGGCTAACTACCTCCGCGCTCGTGAAGTAAGAACAGCACACCTCGAACCCGTTTCCATTCTATTTAACTCAGAATACTTCCGCTGATAATTTGAATCCTTGCGCGTTCTACTAAAATTTACATACTCTGGCATTGGCAGTTCCAGGAGGAAGTAAGGCTTGACATGAAAGATAATTTAAACTTAAAATAAATGTTAGTTAAAATAAATAAAAACCCTACAAACTAATTTGGAGTTTTCACTTGTAATTTTAATTATATTGACATATTGAGATGTTAATAGTTTTATGCCTTATGATTTCTTAATTCTATATGTGCTTGTTTCTTTTTACTTGATAACTGCGTGATTTGTGTTAATTATGTGTTTATAGTTCGTTCGTTAATGTTGTGACTGAGCTTGAGTTTGGTTTTGTGGTAGGCTTCCTTATTTTAATTTAATTTTGATTATTAACAACCTTAATCTTATTTATTATTCCACGTTTCTCTCTTATTTCCTTTTGCATTATCTATTCAATTTGAAAAACTTATTTGAGCTGTGCAACCATGTTGAAAATATTATTTTTAGTTTACTTGGATTCTTTATGCTAACATTTAAGTTACTCGGACCCGGAGTTTGGTTTACCGGATTTTTCTTAGTTTAATTAAACATATTCGGTTCATCTTTGGGGATTAAAGGACTGGGCGGGCAATTGGAGGCCATCGTTTACGGTGAACGTAGAGGCGATCCAAACAAGATTATAAGGTCTATTTTTAGACCATGTGGATCGGGTCGTTTTCCTCTCATTTGTATCCTCGGCCCATGATACACTTAACATATAATACCAGCATCCTATAATATGAATTGATGTCTTATAGCTCTCGTGTCGTATCGGGTCTTCATCTTCTTCGTCGTCAAATTGACTCCCTCTCATGCAAAACTGTGCATCACCTCAAACCGCGCCTGAATATCTTGTATGTACTCCTCGGGCGATGAAGGCGCATCCGGAAGTTCAAACAAAATATCACAAGGCAGACGAAAGTCACAACTGAAGAGCATCTGAGATAGGGTACTCTCTTGGGCAACACTGCGGTAAGCCAGTAAAAGAAGTGGTAATTTCGAGTCCCAGTCCTGTTGAATTCTGGAAATCATCAAGGAAAAGTTATTAAGGATGGTTCGATTAAACCTCTCTACCATGCCGTCTGTGTTTTGTCAGTGCAGAATAGTTTGCAGAGTTGTTTTATTACAGCCGAGGTAAAATTTCCCCCTTAAACGGAATGTATTTGAAGAGGAACTCCGAACGTGGAAATCAAATGCTGTACCATTATCTCTGCTACAGTGATAGCCTCTTGATTACGAATATGATACGCTTCAGGTCACGTGGGGAAGTAATCAATGACAACGAGGATGTATTTGTTGACATCAGGAATTCGTTACAGAGGTCCCAGGATTTCAAAGGCGATGCGATGAAAAGGCGCTCCTAAATTCTAATTCTGCCTTGGTTTTCCTAATTCTGCCTTGGTTTGCGTTTCTGAGGTCCTTTTCGACCAACAAAAGCATCGCAATGATTGGCACCAATTTTCAAGTCATCCTTTGCATTACTCCAGTAGAAACGCTTTCCAGCTCTCTGCAAAGTTTCCATTATTCAAAAGTGGCCTCTTGTAGGACTGCTATGTAGTTCTTTAAAGGACGTCTTGAAATTATTTAAAGGATCTTGGAAATATCAGCTACCAACGGAAATCCATCATGCGATTTGAATTTCCATTACAAGACGCCGTTTTGAATATGGAGTTAGTCCCAGAGAACCTGGTAATTTTTTGTCGTCGGACTACAGATCGAAATGTCCTGCAGATAGGTTTCCTGTTTGTGGACTCCATTAAATCAATTATGGATTTAATGTCGCCTTCTTGTAGCTGGTCTTTCGTGACCTTCTTTGTCACTCTATGGATCTCGATCAGCCGATGTTGATGTTGCAACTTGTCGTGTGACCGGATTCAGCAGCTCGTGTTTCTCTTCGGCCCTGGTACGATATCGGCAGCTTTCGGAGCAGGGTCTTCCAGACAAGGCTTCGGCGTTTCCCGATGAGGATCTCTTCTGATGACGGATAGTTATACCCTCAGAGGCTAAATGCAGTTCTTTGTTTCTAAAGTCTGAGGAAAAATTATATTTCCTTAGAAATTCCAATCCCAGTATCCAAGTATCTGTAATATCTGCTATGTGATATTAGGCGGCACTTCCAAACGTGATGTTTACGTTGGACCCCATCTATCTCGAATTGGTCACCAGACGCGGTCTCAAGTGTAACACAGGATGGCGTCGAAAGGAGTCCGTCTTTGAATTGTTGAGCTAAATAAATGATGGTGAAATTGGTTCTTGTGTCGATGGTCATATTGCAAGGAACTCCTCTGATATGCCCATAGATGCAAGAGCCCATTGCTGTTGCCACTCACTGCATAAATCTGAAGCGCTTTAAATTGGGGGTTTACAATTAAATTGGGGCTTTTTCGTTCAAACTCCGCTCCGCGAGATGGTCACTAAATAGTTTCCTGTGACGTTGCTGGGAAATGGTTTTATTTTCCATACCCTTTGGCGTTCTGAAATTCCAGTACTTTAGAGAAGTTTTCTTCTCACTCCAATTCGTTCTCAAAGCACTGACTTCTCTGTTTAAATTGTGTGTCTTATTTTCCGTGTCCTGGGGTGTTCGGCAGTTCCTTCGTACGTGGTCTTCAGCACACCATTCCCAACACTTTAGAGTCAGTTTCTTCTCACTTCTATTCCGTATCAAAGCATTGACTTCTTAAGGTTAAATCATCTACGCGAGCAATCACTTGATCCACTGGCTCCTGGACTTGAGCAGCTCTGATTGTGTGGCTGTCTCTACGAGTTGCTTGCTGGCGTGCCTTGAATTTCAAGCGTACACTAGAGCGCTTTTTAAGTTCTTTACATCCGCCGTTCGCAGAGCTACCTGTATTTCAGGATCCCAGATGCCGTCAATGAAGTACTGTAAGGACAGGATCCCCTTGTTTCTGTTGGCTTTCTGAGAAGGCGACATGAGGCAGCCTTTCAACATCCAGAGCAAGCTCCTGGAGTGTCTCCTGGGCCTTCTGTTGACAGGAGTTTAATTGAAGCCTTCTGTAATCTTTTAAACGCTTCTTTCTAAAGCTAAGAGCTTTGAAGTCTAGCCTTTGGCTTTGGGGAAGAGTCTGAAGAATATCCGCTGCGTCTGCTCTCAGAGAAGCGGCGAGATGAGAGGCCTTAGCTTAATCCCATCCGTTCGCCTCCGCCACTGTGGAAAAATGTCTTATGCCTTTGCCAAGAGGTCTTCCTGTCATATGTGGACAGCTTCAGAGGAGACATCGGTAAAAATTGAAAAACCATCTGTATTGCTCCTTGCTGTCGCTACGAATTTCTTCTAGATATCAACTTCTTTGTGGACCGCAGAAACCATGTCATAAATTTGCTGCTCGATTTGTCGTTTGGACGGCAGAAACTCGTCCTTCGATTCGTTGTTCCACAGCAGAAACTTTCTCTTCTCTTGTTCTTTGACAAAAGAAACTCTGTAACCGATTTGTTGTTCCACGGGCGAAACTCATTCTTCTATTTGTTTTTTGACAGAAGAAACGTTTTCTTTAATTTGTCCAACTTTCTTTTCAGACGCGTCTGTTCTGCCTTCCGTAGCTTAAAATTTGTTTTCTATTAAACAGGTAATTTCTGTTTTCATTTCTTCTTGTTCTGCTGCAATCTTTCCTTGACCAACTTCCACTTTCTTGAACAGCTATCATCTGCGCTTTAACGGATTCTTGATAAGCTTTCATATCTCCTTGAATGGCTTCCATCTGCTTCTTTAACGGATTTTTGACTAGTTTTCATCTCCTTTTTAACGGATTCTTGACCAGTTTTCAGCTCTTTTGTAAATGTAGCTAAGTCTGCCACCAGCTGCCTTAATTGTCCTTCCATCGCTGTTGCACTGGCATCCAACCCCACTCCGGACACCAAAAATTTCTACGTGCATACGGGTTCGTAACAGATTGAATGCAGAAGTCTGGTAATAGGTTAGTAAAATTTATTCTTACCAAAATAAATATATCAGAACGCTGGAATTTTCTTCAGAGATATTAGTGCAAGTGTTTATAATATCACGCAATATAATCAGTATTTTTACTTCAAACTAGTAAAAACGCTAAATAATGCAATGCAAAGCGTATCTGAAGAAAAAGCTAATCGGATCTCACCCTGAACTCGCAACGATAACAAGAGCAGCTAATTAAACAACTGAACTGAGATGCTCTCTATCCGGTTTTCTGTAGTTTTCAACCGATCGCGAGATATTTCTTGTACTTTCTGCTTCTCGATATTACGGTTACAGCTAACATTGTGGTAAATTACATTTATTCAATTTCAATAAAAATCACTGATGTTAAATGCACATGCCCCTGTATTTGCACTTTTACGGCATAGCTTTCTCTTAGAATTTGTCTCGCCCTGCATTGCACGGTGAAATATAACAATTTTAATTATAATTCTACTAAAATTAATTAGCTAAATACAAAATGCATAACAATATACTGTTTTGCAAAACTATTTTGAAAAATCATAACTTTGTTCACTTCAGATCTTTAGAAAGCGTAAATATGGATTTAAAAAATTAAGTGGACAAATTTTAGTAAGTGTAATGTTTTGTTAAATCCGAATTATATTTATTAAAATGCATCACGTCGACATCTTCGCGATAGTCGCAAAAAGGTCGATTCTTGCATTCCTCACCTAGGAAGATGGCGTCGTTGGAACCTACGATTCTGAGTTAGAGCGACGAATATTTGTGTCAATAGAAATGCAGACAAAGACCTGAAATCGATGTTTATTAAACGGTCACAAATGTATAGAATTTCAGAAAAAAAAAAACCTCTATGTTAAAGATATCATAAAAGATTGCTGCGTCATTAGGGAGTCATCGTGCCACTTTTTTAACAATCAACTTTTGTAATATCCACATGTTTCCTCAATTTTCTGGACATAAAATTTGCAATACGCCTTCCCGTACACATCTTTCGAATTCTAGATACGCATCTCAGAGCCACGTTTTTCACAGCCACTGATAAACTGTAGACAAATGAAATAACAAAGTCAAATAATGCAATGACACATAACCCTAGCCAGAGTCCTATGTATCCACCAATGCGGCTGAAGAGTTCGAAAGGCTGAAACGAAAAGATCGTCAGTAATGCTTAAATAAAAAACAAAAATAAAATTGAGGTATTTATGTCAAGTAATTATGAATTAATTTTTATTTACATGAAGTAATTATTTAAACAACGAGAAAAAACTAGAATGATGTTTATCATAAAACATTTATTTTATTGTATGTGTATTGTTCTACCTTGAAGTCCTTTATAATTTTTCAATCACTCGTCCCCCATTAATTTCATTATTGTATTTTGAATAAATTATTCGTCTTTCATTAAAGTTGCAATAATGGAAGCCGAACTCTAAGACTTAGCAAATCTTCAAGTCTCAGAACTGTTGCCACTACTGAATAATACTTTTGAAGTGAGAGTTGTTTAAATTTGCAATTTTAACAGTCAGTAAATTTTAACAGCAGACTGATAAAAGATTTGCAGGAAACATAATTTTTTTCTTTCAAATCATAGCATATAAATATTTCAGTTAAAAAATATGTAAATAAAATTATAAATTTAATTCCTCAATAATTAACGAGTTAAAGAACTATTTAATAAATACTCCTTTAACTCTTTAATTTGTTTTTCCTTCGTTATGTTTTTAAAAGTCATAGTTGTTTATAATAAATTTCTCTAAACGCGTCATCTCTTCTTTAACTTGTGTCACATGATTTTTTACAAAACGTTAATGACGCAAATGCAGACATAAGACTTTATCCAATCATAATTTTAAAAGGCTTAACCAATTAAAATAAAGTTGAAAGGAATTAAATCATTTTGAACAAACATTTCGCTTGAAACGGGGCATTCCGTGTTCAGAAACTCAGCTTGCTCTCCGCTGCTATAGAGTTTTTACTCTGTCAAAATTAATGTCTACAGAAAGGTTGACAAGGAATAATTTTAATGAGAAACGAATTGCGCCCGTAGCACTATGTAACTGAAATTACGAATGTGCTTTTGAAAAATTAAAAAAAAAAAACTTTAATATTCACAACTGATAACCTCTTTTATGCAACTCTTCGAAATTATTTCCAGGATACCCAATGACGTTCTGCCATTCTTCGCCGAAACGTGCGTCTACGGAATTAAATTAGCTGAGTTTTAAGCTATTCAAAACGATAACAATGCAATTTTTTCAGGCACTGCTTCAAATCCTCGTCTGTGTAGTGAATTCGATGTTAAATATGTAAAAGTGAAGAAAGAAATTTGCCGTATCATCAACTATGATTTACTAAGTACTTTTAATTCCAACGTATTAGTGTTTCAAACCTCACTCGGAATTTTTGCGATAATTTACGGAGCAATTTAATGAGTATTGAAAAGCTGCAAAAGTCTAGTGCTCTGAGGATTATCAGTCTTATGTTTTAGAAATATTAAAATTCGTTATTACTGCAATTACTTCTTTGACCATTTTCAGTCGACAGCAAATTGCCTTTAATGAAATTATTGTGTCATTTGTGTATTATTAAAAAGAATTCAGCGCAGTAGAAATAAGAAACTTTGATTATTAATTATTGTATCTGATATCTAGATTAATTATTGATGGATCAACATGGAGGGTTTCCGTTGTAACTAGAAGCTGAAGTCCTGCAAAGAATACTAGGCTAATCGTAAACAAATCACAAAACATTGAAGAATGTTAAAATAACCTCTTAATTTAGCTTTAATTTGAACGGAATGGGAACAACTTGTACTACAGGCGAAACTTTCATTAATTGTAGGTATCTAAACTAACTTAAAATAAGTTAAATTCAAAAGCAGAGACTTAGCGAAAAAGTACGCATAGGATATTAATTGAGCTGGCTCAGAATTTTGCCGAATTATTTTAAAACAGCGAATTATTTAAAATTTGCCGAATTATTTATTTATTCAGAATTATTTTAAAACATCGGCTAGGCAAACGCCAAAGACAGAATATGCAGAGATGACGGTAATAATTAACAGCAAGACGCGGTTTTCCAGAACCTCTAATTTAACATTCTAAACTCTGAACATAAATACACAAAAAACTTAATTTTCATTCTGGTGAGAAAAACGGAGAGAAAAAGTTATAGCAAGTACTTAAATCATAATAAAATTTTAATTAACATATCTTAAAACTCAAAACCATGTCTGAAGATTATTAAAGTGAGCTGAAGAGAAAAATGCGGCATTTTAAGAGTAGCAAATACCGAATCGCTAAAGGTGTTGTAAGGTATATTTTAATTTTATAACAGTTATTTTAATTTTGAAACCCTTTCCTGTCAATTCTTGTTCGCACTTACAACTCTCTACCAAAATGAGTTTTTACAAGCGCTTTGAATGCAAAATGAGTTAGAAGTACTTAAGTAAGTTTCAAGGGACTTCGATAGTGCTAGGAGTCCTTAGTAGCGCGTGTCTGCCTTCCTTAGTATCGTGTGTCTTCCTTAGTAGCGCGTGCTAAGTCACTCTTGAATCTACTACGCTCTTCCGTATTATACGGGCCTATTGGCATTCACTGGATAGTTTAATTTAAGAGCCAGTTACTTTAGATAATTCTGTATAGTTTAGGCTAAGTCTCGTTTAGTCCATTACAGTTTAGTTTCTTATTCTGAGTTAAAACGGCCAAGTAGAGGCTTCCTGTAAGTCTGAAAAGGAGCCGTCTGTTATACTATATATCGCTGAGTTGTTTGAACTCAGCGATATATAGTACACGAGGTTCCTCGATGTTTCATCTTAGACAGGGAGTTGGGAACCCTACAGAGTTACAGCATGAATATTCGAAAGCCGATGAATGCGCTCTTAGCAATTTGGAAGAATTTTTAGAAACACAGATATACTACTCGGAGTCTCTTAGCATTGAAGACGCAGAACTAGAGAAACTTTTTAATGTCGGAGAATTTGAAACATCATATTTGAAGAATACTGCAAAAAGTTGGCTGGCGAGAAATTTCCCGCCACTGGAAGAATTAATGGAGTAAAACGAAACTTTAATAAATGATAGCTCAAAAAACATTTAACGCAATTCTCGGATACGTCGCGTGACACTGAGAACAAAAGAGAATTAAAATCTCACCAATATAGTTCGCATTAAGCTTCCGAAATTGACCATTAGCTAACTACTACGGAGACAAAGAACTGCCTTATATTTTGTGACAGGTTTCAATATGCTATTCACAATAGTGAAGTGTTCCCGAAGATGAAATTAGAAAGATCGAAATTATTGTATCTTCTATATGTGGGCGAGTAAGAGCACTTACAATGCTATTCAAGCGTAACGCATTTTGGGAATAACTACTAATAGTTAATGGTCAACTTCCGAAATTGACCATTAACTAACTTCTTTGGAGACAAAAATTGTAATAGCTTTCAATCTGCAATTCATAATAGTGAATATCGAAGATGAAATTAGAAAGACCTAAATTATTGTATCTCCTATATGTGCGCAATAAGAGCATTTACAATGCTATCAAAGCGTAACGCTATTCTGGAAATAACTAATTTTATAATAATATAAATCTAAATATCAATTCCACACATTTATTAAAGATTTCAGCGCAAACTATCGTGCGTTATGATACACATTTTCATTTTTATATTTATATGTCAGTAGTTAATAGTCCAAATAGCAGTAACAGTAAAAGAGAAACATCACCAGTTAATAGTCGAAAAAGGACTAATAGACTCAATAATAAGCAGGAGTCCTTGTGTTCGCTTAATACTGAAAGGATTCCGCCCTGGAACTCATCACATAACAGGACAACAGATGACGAAAGAAGGGAACAATGCCTTTAATATGCCGCCACCACTGTCTTGGAATCGCATGACAATGGGAAGGGACGTCTCTATGAGTCTGGAAGTGATCCAGAATTGTTTGAATGACATCATGCCTCCTAGTTTTCTTTTTGTGGCAAAGACTTCTTGATGCACATTTTTAGAATGACATATGTCATTCCAAAAAAAACTGATATCACTATTAACTAGTAATTAAAACTATTCACTATTAATTAAAACTGATATAACTATTAATTAAAACTGAGTTTTAGTTGTTGATAGTTGATAATATCAGTTTAATTAATAGAATCAATTTAATTAATAGAATGGTGATTTATTAATTAAACTGATATCAGTTTTAATTAATAGATCACCTACATTACAGTTAGGCAAGTACATTAAAAGTAAGAAAACTAAGAACAACGCAACAATAATCGTATCTTCTCCTAGCCACAAGAATGAACCAGAATACAATCAAAAACACTGGAAATATAAAAAATGTATAAATGAATAATAATACATAATTATTACTTCATGTCTTGGTTTGTATGAAACTATTTTGACCGGAGGATCCTGAAGTTCGAGAAAAACTTCCGCACGCCTAATAAAAGAAAGATAGTTTATATATGCTGTTAAATTAATATATGGGCTGTTATGTAACACCTAATTTGTCAAAATTAATTGTTATAACAATCGCATATTTCAAATAATGAAGGCGTTAATATTTTATTGGGAGCATTTTAGATAAACTTTTTTTTCTCTCTCTTACACTTCGATTCTTATTCCTGTTTAAAATCTTCTTATTAATTTATATATTCTAATGCAGTAGATAAAGCAGCAAATTCTAATATACCAAAAAATGTTATAAATGAATTCATTATACAAACGGTTTCATTATGACTAGTAAGTGTACAGTTAGTTTTAAACGATTTAAACGAAACGTTTTAAACGAAACACACTTTACAAATGAATTTAATACAACTAAATAACATTAATTTTAAATTATCAATTTAATAATAGAGAGGAGTTAGTGGCCTTCTCAGCTTTGCCTGAGCCCTGAAATTAAACAGAAGTTTAAGATCTCTAATCAGTATACTAAGATATCGGAATGGTACGCTAAAAAGAATCTAAAAAAACCTAGAAAATGTTTACTTACTTTTCCTCCCAGTAATGTACCTTTAAAGAAAATATAAACACCTGTTAGTAAGGTACAGAATTTTATTACATAAAAAATAGGTTAAATTCATAAATTTAAAAGCAGTTGGAATATCGAAAATTAAGAACAAATTCTTATCATTAAAATAAAGCATTTTTCTCAGGTAAAGGTACTGAGAATTATAGTATATTATAACAATATGTTGACGACATATTGCAACAACGTACAGAATACTTAAAATTGTTATTTCAAATGGATAACGAGGAAGAGAAAAATTTTTTGTTTTGCTTTGTACTGTGTACTTTAGTGTTTTATTAATATTAAAAATATTGGGTTGAAACATAAGTAATGGCCGTTTTTTTTAAATTTAAAAATTTGTATTTTAATAAAACAAAAACAGTAAATTAGTAAATAATAGAGTTTTTGCGCTTTTCCCATAGACCCAAGATGTCGAACTATAGTCATTTGACTACAACCCATTCGTTCGGCTAATTCTCGAGTGGTTTGACGCGCGTCTTCGTGCAAAAGTTGATTCAAACGCTCTTCATCAAACTCATTTGGTCGTCTGGAACGAGCAGCGTCTTCAAGGTCGAAATTCCATTTCTATCTGGAACGAATTCTTGCAGTTCTAGGCATGACTCCCATAATCACAAATCTCGGGACTTGCATTTGCGCCGATAAGCAAAAGAAGAAAGTTCGAACTTATTTTTTCGACTGACACATTTAATGTTGAAAATTAAAAGCCAGACAAAAATTAAATACGCCTTTAGCAAGGATGTCAAACTCGCGGCCAACAAATATTTTTGCGGCCCGGCCAATATATCGGCAAATAATAATATATAATAATAAAATAACATATCGACGAAGAAAAAAATGAAATGTTTACTGCTAAGTAATTAACGATAATTTATTCAGTGTTGTTAGATTACTCACAGCGAGCTGACACACACACTACTTAAATTACAAATGCGTGTGAGTAGCTTGCGTTCAGCTACCTTCGGCTTTTGGGGGACACGTGCACTCAGAACTTGTACGCATCCCCCGATAGCCGAATGTGGCCGAACTCATGGTCTCAGTTTTCCAATCATAGTTTTGTACGATATATTGGTGCATGCATGTGCATGCACTTTGCTTTATTATTAATTATTACTTAATTCATATTGTTACGGATTTCATAGTTATTTATTTAGTTTAGTTTTTTTTATTTAGAATTGTAATTAGATTTGCTTCATGTTGCCTTAGCAACGCAGACGATTTTTGAAAAGACAGCTGCGTTGGAAGGTTAAAAATAGAACAGCGCGTGCATTTAATACCTAATAAATAAATATCTCGTAATTGCTGTTGCCATCCACAAAAATCCAGATATTTATAGATGTTTCCAGTATATTCGAGAAATTAATTATAAAGCTTATAAAAGCCGAGAACAAACAACTCATCTCAGTAGTAGCTGTAGTTCTAGCGAACTGTTTGTTTACTTAATGCTGTGATTGATTTGTAGCGATTTCGCTGTGAGATAGAATTAGTTTCTCTGTTTTGAATTGATTTTTGCTAAACGTTTGACATTTTGTGATATTGTTAGAATATTTTTGAAGAAATATTTCAGCATTTTGATTTATCTCTTGTGGAAAGAATAAATTTTTGTTAACTTTTTAACGTTAACCGTGTTTATTCCAGCCCTTTGTATTCAGTATGTCTATATCAAAACCAAGTGGTAGTAAAATTAAACGAAAAATCGCTGACGAACATAGAATATTCCAAGTAAAATGGGAATTAGAATATTTTTGCTGTGAAATAAAAGATAAAATAATCTGCTTGATATGTAATAATACTATTAATGTACCAAAGTTATATAATATTAAACGTCATTACGAACAACACAAATCGAAATATAACAATTACGAAGGATTAATGAGAGAAGAAAAGTTGAAAGAGCTCAAGTTAGGAGTGAAAAAGCAACAGTCCATGTTTAGTAAAGTATTGCAAGAAAGTGAAGCGGCGGTACATGCAAGCTACGTCTTGTCCGAGTTGATAGCTAAACATTCGAAGCCTTTTACTGACGGTGATTTCATCAAGGAATGCCTAATGAAAGCTGGAGAAATTGTTTGTCCTGGAAATGTGAAGGCTTTTCAATCAATTTCATTGTCTCGAAATACAGTTGCGGAAAGAGTTACTGATTTAGCCGCGAATTTAAGTGATCAGATCAAAGCAAAATCATCTAGTTTCGAAAGTTTCTCCATTGCCTGTGACGAGAGCACGGACATTAGTGGCAAAGCTCAATTAGCAGTGTTTCTTCGTTCTTGTGACAAGAATTTTAACATTTTTGAGGAATTACTGGAACTAATACCGATGCCTGGTACTACCACAGGAGAAGATATATTTACTTGTGTTTTTGGACTTCTGCAGAAATACAATCTACCTTTGGCAAAATTAAATTCTGTAGCTACAGATGGCGCTCCATCAATGACCGGGAAAAACAAGGGCTTCGTAGCATTACTAAGAAAAAAAACTTAGTGAAATTCACGGTTCAAACATTCATCATATGCATTGTATTATACATCAAGAAGTTCTATGCACGAAAGTAATAAATATGGAGAATGTTTTGTCATATATAAAAAAAGTTATAAATTTTATAAGATCTCGAGGTTTAAATCAGCGTCAATTCACTGCTTTCTTAAGTGAGTTAGATAGTGAATATTCGGGTTTGTCCTACTATACCGAGGTACGTTGGTTATCTTGCTCCAAGATTCTCAAACAATTCTGGGATTTGAAAGAAGAAATATGTCAGTTTTTAAAAACGAAAAATCAAGACGTAAGTTTGTTTTACGATCCAATATGGATACAAGATTTATCTTTCTTGGTTGATATAACCAAACAAACACTTAACCGATTTAAATTTATCGTTACAAGGAAAAGATCATATCATTACGAACATGTTTGACATAATTAAAGCATTCAAATGTCAACTAGTTCTTTGGGAAAAAAAAAAACTTAAAAATGAAGATTTGACGCACTTCCCGACGTGCAGCATGAACAAATCAAGTTTAGATGATACTTGTTCGTATCAAAAATACGCAGAAAAAATTGCAAATTTAACAACTGAATTTGAAACGAGGTTTAATGATTTTAGTTCCCTCGAAGACAAATTTTTTTTTGTTTTCTTCGATTTTCTCAATAAGTATTGACTCAGTACCCAGCCATATGCAAATGGAGGTGATCGAGATTCAATGCAACTCAAATTTGAAAGCAAAATTCATTGAAGTGGGCGTGCCTGAATTTTACAAATATTTACCAGCCAGGTTTGAAAATACTCGAAAATTCGCATATGAAATTATTTCCATGTTTGGTAGCACTTATCGGTGCGAGCAGTTATTTTCAGTCATGAAAGGTAATAAGTCTCCTATTAGAAACCGTATTAATGATGCTCACCTTGGGTCAGCGTTGAAAGTTATCACTGCAAACAAAATTTCTCCCGAAATAGGAAAGATAATAGCAGAGAAGAGATGTCAAGTATCAGGACGTAAACATTAAATTTTTCTTGTTCTTTTCTATATAAATATATATATATGTTTATTATTGTATTATTCGAAATAAATCTACGTTTCTATGAATATGATTTTTTTTTTGGGGGGGGCCCCCGCCTAAAGTTAAACCTTGTTGTTTGGCCCAAGTGACCTATGAGTTTGACATCCTGTGTAGAGGGACAGATCTCTTCGAATTAACAAAAATGCCAATACACTTATTTTTACCGCGTAATTTTAAACAAACATAAACGGCATACTATTAAACCAAGATTTTTTTTTTTTTTTTTTTTTTTGCTTAATTTTAAACAAATGAGAAATTCACGTTTCTCATAATTTTAAAAAGAATTTATTGTTTGGTAAAAAAATGAACAAAAAATAAATGAATGAAATAAAAGAATGGCCAAATAATTAGAACTTGTCAGAGCTACTAGTTCAACGTAGAAAATGGGCTACAGGCCGTGAGCAGCGATAATATACGTTGCTGTTAGCATGTAAGTACATGGTGGTTTTCGCCAGTTTTCTATGCGTAAATATGAGCTAGTTTTCATTTCAAGCCAAGTTTAATTTTGAAAACATTCATTCCATTAGGAAGACAGCTGATGTACGTTTTGCCTTAATCAAGCAAACAAATTTAAAATGAAAATTGAATTGAATTTTTTTCTGGCGTAAGTGCGAGGAACGTAATATTTAATAAATAAAGTTGACGCATAAAAATCTAATAATAAAAACACACAATTGTTTTTTCTTTTTTTTAATCATCTTACTAAGGAAATTAAAAAGTGATATGAAAAAAAATGCCGAAAAATATTAAAATATATGCTAACACTTAATACCGCATGGAGAATTCTAAACATGTACTGTTAAAAATTTGAAATGTATGCGGAGCAGGTGTGAAGGAAAAGAAGCTTAATACGAAAGCTAAGAAACCAAAAAAGTATGCTAGTAGGAGTGAGGGAAAAAACAGGCGGTAGTGCTGAGATCTCAGCGACCTCGTAGAAAGCTTTAATAAACTTTTTGGGGAGACGTCTAAAATTTGAAACCTTTCAGAAATTTTTATTCTTCGAGTTAGTAGCTTTTGCAATGATTTTATGCTGCTTTAGACATGATCAGCGTTTTTAGAAGTGCATGCTTTACTATACCAGTGCTTAAGACAAAGTAATTTATGTTCATTTACCAAAGCTTGTGATATTTAATCCAAGACTGTACATGACCTTCAATGCTCTGCTCTATTTCGAGTAATAATAAGTAAATTTTCATAACTAATTTACAACAGCAATGTTGTTACAATGCATTAATTTCAAGTCCATCGTTCTTGTATATTGCGTTTTATAAATTTAGCTTTTGTGCCAAAAACCATTATGTGGATTATCTAGAAGACGACTATTGAAGGCAAACTTCTAATTTATTTATATATATTTCAGTCTTATCAACACGAACAGTTTTATTTATACCATGTATGAATGCATAATTTGCCGCCCAGACGGGATAGCTGTTCATGATGTTGACTGCTGTATCCAAGACCTCGGTTTCTATACTCACAGAAGGCATGGATGTTTGCTAATGTACTCAATTGGCACACAAAATGTCACTAAAAATATATCGTGAGTCGAATGACTTCTCAAGCGGTTTGGTACTATCGAAAGAAGAATGACAGACACATGAATCCATACCCGGGAATGCGCTCCTTCAACATTGGGGTAGAACAGGGCACATATATGCAGTCACCTACAAGGTACTCGTACGAATAACAGACGTAATCTTGCACTCCTTGCGAAGATAAAACTTGTGGGCTTGTTCTGATTAACTCCTGCAAGTGAAATTAACTAAAACAACTCATAATTTATCAGTTAATTCTTTCAGTAGAAGTTACAGATTCATGTTTTAAGTTTTGCAGTTATTATTTCTATACCTTAATCGTTATTTTATTCCGTCTCAGTTTTCTGCTTTCCGGTAGTGCTTTAAATATCATTTACTTCTCTCCAGCACCAGAATCCAAAAGCAGCAAACAAAGGCATATCCCTCAAAATGAAGAGAAAATAAAATGCCTCTGCTCAAGAAACGTTCAACTGAACATACATTGGCATTAAATCACTATCATTGCCATTAAATAATAATGAACTTCTGAGCAGATTAAGGAGTACCTAATACCTAGAGTAAATGCCAAGAAACTGGGAATAGCTGTTAAGGAGCTTAGAGCTATACGGTCTTTGGGTGCAAAGCGAAGCTCAATCTGTAGATATTTAAGAAATCAAACAAAATTAGTGACCACCAAGAAAATGTCTATAATTTTCTCTGATACCTACACTTCGGTCACAGCAGATCATATATGTCAAGTTTTCCTGAATCTGTGTTATCTGCAAATATGGAATATCTACAATTCAGAACCGTGTAGTCGTTAAGGTTTTGTGAAGCACCTCTCGATTGCTATCCTAATGTGCTATCCAGTTACAGCACGAAGGAATGCGGTAAGGAGGTAGGAAACAACCTATAACCCTATTAAATGCAACTGCGAAAACAGTCGCTGGATTTCTGACATTCAGCAAAAGCTGGAAAATATACTTATAAACCACAATATGAGTGCAGTTAAGTCTTAGCAACACCTGCGGATTTAAAAATCTTCACGCGTTTTTGGCTTATGTGCTTTCTTACAGTTATGAGAGGCTAGATAATGTTAGTCGTATCTGCAAAACACTGCATTACTATTTTGGCATTTGTAGGAAAAATAGCCTAAACAGATAAGTCTACAGCAATAATCCCTCGTTATATTTTTACTCCATGCAAGACTTGCGATACGGTAACGAAATTTCACACCGAGCAATTGCTAAAGTATGCATAGCCAGAATTGATGACATTGAAGAAAACAACTCAGTATTAAATCTGTCATAGACGTTTAGAAACGCTGAAACAATCAATAGCCATGCAGTTCTTCAGGATAATCTACAGCATTGTGAGGCAGCCACAACTCATGCAGCAGAGGTCCTCATGTTAAATAATTTCATAGTGCTTATTAAGGAGCTCTACACAGATTCATAAAGGATATTCCATTTACGACTTCCTGGATTTATCCGCATAAAAGTGCTTCAAATTATTAGAGTAACTAGAGTTGAATCTACAATGGACCTTTATCCGTACTTCAGCTTTACAGAGTGACAATTATAATTAGATGTTTGTTTACTAATTATTCAGTTTGTACACGTTTTTGTGACATAATTCACTTTTCTTATCGGAATGGATATAGCTAACTATTTGATATAGCGGATGAGACTTCTGCTCCCTTGAAGGTCATTAAATCGGGGTTCATCTATAATCTAAGTCTGTCCATGGATTGACAGTGTTGATATCCCTAACCTGAATATATATTGTCTTCCCGCAACTTATTTTGTTGAACACTTGTTCTTCACCATCTCGAAAGGGTCTGCACCATTTAAAACCTGAAATACGGCATAGTGTCCAGCCATTATACGTATGGCATAAGAGTTCCTTTCATTACAGATTTTTCCCAAAGTTTAACACAAAATTCAGTCGTATCTGCCGCATTTACACAAAGATGTCTTCTTCGTCCTGCACAAGGCTTTTTAATTTTCTGTAATCAAATTAATCTTTCCTGTAATTACCCAGTGCTTTCCCCCATCACGTTACTGCATTGCTCATTGCTTTCAGGTGTTGTTAAATCACATGTCAATCATTCTTTTGAAGCTACTAAAGTAGCTTCCTTTGTTCCTTCCTTCCTTTGTTTAGCTTTATGCCCGAAGTTGCAATCCGTCCCAAGGACTTCATACGTGTCAAAGCGTCGAAGAAGAAGTTCTCGCTTTACTTAGTAAGGCTATGTTAGCGCTGTAGTATTCAACTTGTCATGGGGATAGGAAAAGCGTTCCAGGAGAAATTCTTAGATACGGGCGTTTTCGATGTTTGGGGAATTGAGACTTTGCCCTCTCTCGATGCGAAAGAGTTAATGACCTTCAAAGGAGCAGAAGTCTCATCCGCTATATCAAGTAGTTAGCTATATCCATTCCGATAAGAAAAGTGGGTTATGTCACAAAAACGTGTACAAACTGAATAATTAGTAAACAAAAATCTAATTATAATTGTCACTCTGTAAAGCTTAAGTACGGATAAAGGTCCACTGTAGATTCAACTCTAGTTACTCTAAGAATTTGAAGCACTTTTATGCGGATAAATCCAGGAAGTCGTAAATGGAATGTCCTTTATGAATCTGTGTAGAACTCCTTAATAAGCACTATAAAATTATTTAACATGAGGACCTCTGCTGCATGACTTGTGGCTGCCTCACAATGCTGTAGATTATCCGAAGTCCGTACCTGTTCAACTGAAAATTCAAACACATTGATCTGGTTCATACACGACGCTCAGTATAGGGTTTGCACGTTTAATTCTGGGAAAGAGACGCGTGTGTGTGATTATGGCAAAGCCTTGAAGGCTATCTGTCTAAGGGAAGGGATGCCTTCGTGGAGGACTTTCTAAGGGAAACTGACTTATATACACGTTACACATGGGGAAAACCACGAAAAGGCCCATGCAGCCAGCCCGTTCGCGGGATTCGAACCTCGGACCGAACTACCAGTGTTCAGCGACTTTACCACTCGGCTGCTAGTGGGCGCATGGGAAAGAGAAACAAAGGCATTTATAAAAGATTTTAGACAGCCTTGTTGAAGTCTCAAACATATTACTGTTATTTTCCGTGTTAATAAGTTTTTCATGCAACTGAAAGTAAACTTAAAAACTGAAAGCATTAATAGATTTTAAAAAGCATTAAAATCCATATAGAAGGAAGATACATCTAGGAAGAAAAGTATGAACTTGTTACAGATCGCAATTAAAGGAAATGAAATATGATAAATTAAAATAATATTAATTTGTATAAGGAAAGTTACAAGAAAATATTGTTCTTACTTCTGTTTCTTCGACTAAATAAGTATATCTGTATTTCCTGTAAAAGATGAAAATTAAGGGACCTTTAATTATTGATTTACATTAATATTTCTAATTTTAGATATGAAAATCAATACAAAAATCTTAACTAATTAAGTGATATTAAAAGACATATTTTGCAATTGTAAAATCTATATAAGTATAATGAATAGTTTTACATACTGGATAAACCTGGGTTTTTTAAAAGAAAAAAAAACTTACAAGCACGGTTCCTTGCAAATCGTTGAACATTCTTTCTTATGCTCATACAGAGGGTGTATATAACACCTACCTGAAATCATAAATAAAAGTAATCAAAAGAAAAATGGGTCGCATGTAATCTCTGAATAATTATTTTTCAAAGCTTACAATTCATATTACAATTTCGTTCAATTAAAAACAAACAAATGAACACATATTCTTTTTTATATATATTTAAAGTATTGCATCACAGTGATTATTCATATTATCGAAAAAGCTTTAAAATTCAGTAAAGTGTCAGATACACATAAAGAAATGATTAGGCATCTTATCGCACATAATGTGAAATTTAACAATAAGCCATTGAAACCAAATCTAAATTCGAGAGAAAGAGCTACAATGAGCGAAATTTATTCTAACCCGGACATTATCATTTCAAAGTCCGACAAAGGTGTCCAGATAGTCGTCATAAACACGAAAACTTACATCGATGGTGTCATAAAACTCTTAAACGAAGGACATACAATCCGATCCCTAAAAAGCCTTCACCTTCGGACCTCTCCAAAATAAAAACTGCGATCAAATCTTCACAAATCCTTTCGACCCAACTTAAAACAGCCATTTATCCCATCTGTTTGCTTGAATGCGAATTGCTTATGCTTATATAGCCTTGCGGCTTCTTCTAATCCCTAGAGAACATCACAGTGTAAACTATCAACTAAATCCCAGCCGGGAAACGGAAACGGATCAAGGTAGGAAAGAGGGCCCGTTGACCGCGAAGCACAAAGTCAAGCTAAGATAATCGTTACATAACTACTGTTGTGTAGCGAATTTAATTTAATTAAGTGATTAATAAAAATCAAAATTTTAAAGTTGTAATTATTCAAAATTTGAGCTACACAAGTTTGGTTATATTCTTTTTGGGCCTATTAATTCTAGTGTAATATATTTTGGCTTTCCGAGTTTACGCGAACTGCGTCTTCAATCTTGTACATGCAGACAATGGATAAGTATTTTTGTTTCTGCGTAATAAACTCAGTTTTTCATGTCAAAAATTAATTTGATTTCTTAGTATTTAATATCATTAGTTGCAGAAAAATTAGCTCTTTAATTTGGCATAACTTTCATTTTTCTAACTTTAATTGCATTTCAGTTATGAGCTTTAATTAGTAGATTTTCTTCGTTTCGCTTGTGATTTAGTTAAAGGGGGATGAAATGCCTTCTTTCCGGTTGAAAAGTCACTTTTTGCGAGTTTTCAGCGTTCTTTCGTTGGGACCCTTGCAGGGTTGTTGAAATTCCTAATCTTCCCCTTCGGTCACAGGTGGCAGTTATTTTGGCGAGGGTTTGGCGACTTAGATTTTCCGTTGAGGTTTCAAAATAGTGGTTTTGGCGAGTTTGATAACATGAGGGTATGCTGTGGTTGCAACTATTTCAACTTTCGGCGAAAAATGGGTTGCGCCAACTTGGCAGTCCGGCGCTCTCCCTTTTAAACGGGTTGTTTTAGGGGACGAGCTGTCTTTTGACACTTTTTGCACTTTACTTCTGTTGCCCTTTGAATTGGCCGGAGGCGACAGCTGACTCCGACGAAGAAAATGGAGCTTCCCCCGATAGGCCTACGGGCCTCTTGGCTAAGCGCTGTGAGCGCGGGCCGTAGGTATGGGCATCTATGTCTTCAAAAAAAAAAAAAAAAATCGAAATTCTTTCATCAGTTTTTTGTTGTGTGTGGTTGTGTGTATCTCAAGGAAAATATACAGAAGTAAATTTCTAGAAAAATGATGCGCACCATTGATTCTTCGCTTCACTCGAGACCAGAGCGTTAATTTAAAACCGTTTTTTTGGAAACCTCATTTGCTCATCCTAAATTCTCCAGAACTTCAAGGCACCATAATGAATATTTAAAACCGTTGTTTGGAACCTCATTTGCTCATAAATTCTACTAGAACTTCAAGGCTACCATAATGAATAATTTAAAACCGTTGCTTTGGAACCTCATTTGCTCATCCTAAAATCTACTAGAACTTCAAGGCTACCGTAAGGAATCCATACTGTTCTACGAACATTTTTTTTCCATTCAACAGGCCGCCAGCACTGTATTTCACTTATCTGCCGTATTGGAACCTCAATTGTTCATCCTAAAAATCTACTAGAACTTCTAGGCTACAGTAATTGAATCCAAACTGTTCGACGAACATTTTTTTTTTTTTTCTTCATTCAACAGGCTGCCAGCATTCCTCATGAGCTTCGATGGATTTCTTTTGTTTGATGATCCTTAACAGATAAGTTCCTTTTTCTTTTTGGTTAATTCTTGGTTAGTTAAATATTATAGATTTCTGCAGTTAAAATGATTGAATTAACTTAATTTGTTAATTTGTTGAACCCTAAATTTTTTCTGTAGTTGATTACTTTATCCTAACTCTATAGAAATCATTTTTCTTGGGTGTATCAATCAAGTAAAAAGCATTAAATGGAATAAAGATTTATAACCTTATTAAAATTATTGTAACTTAACTTAATGGTTAAGAAAAAGAAAATTAAGTTCTTCAGGAAATTATTTACTTTAATGTTTTTTTTTTGAATTACTCATTGGTGAGGATGATTTGAAATAGTGCTTGTATTAGAGCATTCTTTGTTTCTCAGGACGAACTTGTTTGTAGAATAGTAAATGTGTCATTACTTATCTTATCCGGTTAAAACCATATTTAATTAATCTAAGAAAAAAAAAATTGAAATAATAAAAATTATTATGTGCAATAATAGTATTTAAATGATTATATTGAGTGCAATATTAAGCAATAATTTTTTGTTGTATAGATGAATTCTGTGTGAAGTAGAAAGTAGAAAGTGTAGCTTGTTTAATTTTTTTTTATTATTTTTCTCCCCGGGGAGGGTAGTGTTTCTTAAATTTATAGTTTATTTTGGTATGTTTTACCAGATTTGCAATATTAAATTTAATAGTAATTACAAGGATGTAAAAAAAAAATAATTACTTGGAACGTTTGATGTGTAAAACAATAGTTCAAATTTTGTTGAATATATTTGATATTTTTTTTTCAACTAATGGATATATATATATTTATAATTGGCATTAATAGTTAAATAAATAAGTTTTTCTAGATCATTCAAAGGTTAAATTTTTGTGTGTGTGCTCATGATTTTCACCCGTCTCATTCTCAAGTTGATTTCAGGGTTAATCCGAAAACACAACGCAAAATGTACAGGGCTTATAGATATTAGTATATTACTGTTAAAAAATTTTAAGTGTTATGTCAACAGAGTAGGAAACCATATGATTTTTTTAACATAACATATTGGTACCGTGATTTTTTCACTATAACACTACCACTTATCAAAGAGGGGATGAGAAATATTCCATCTGTTGTGAATTGTGACAGATTATATGCTCTTCCCGAAATTTATAAAAGGGGTATTCCTTTCCGCCCTATTGCTTCAAATTTAGGCACTCCCTGGTACCCATTAGATAAATATTTGGTTTCTGTATTTTCACCTCTATCAGATAATGACATTTAGACCATATAAAATTCAATAGGTTTGTAAAAAAGTTAAAAGCATTTCTCCTCGAAATTTACTCATGGTTTCTTTTGATGTAAAATCGTTATTCACCAATGTTCCAGTGGAGGGTGCATTAAGATATCTAGAAACTAGACTTCGCGAATTTCATTTCTCTTGCATCGAAATTGATGAGCTAATTTCCCTCGTTCAACTCTGTTTGAAACAAACGCATTTTGCTTTCCAAAATAAGGATTACGAGCAAACTGAGGGATTAGTCATGGGAAGCCCTCCTTAGTCTCATACTGGCTGATATTTACATGCATTATTATGGATCAAAATTATTTGAAACTTTAAACTTTCCGGTATGGCTCAGCTACGTAATTAATACTTTTACTCTATTTGACGGTAATAAAGATGATTTGAATATGAATTAAATTGATACTGATTTTCAGTTCACGTTTGAACTTGAGACATGCTATTCTCTTGAGATCCTCGTTTTGGTCACACATAACACATCCAGCTTTGGTACTACGGTTCACCGTAAACTTTCATGGATTTGCCTTCCACACTTCAAATCCTGTCATCCGACTAAGCAAAAGTTAGCTTCTTTTTATTCTTTTGTATTCCGCGCACTTCAGGTTTGCTGCTCAAAAACTGGCTCTTTATCAAGAACTAAATTATTTAAAAGCAGTAGCCTATTGACAGGGCTTTTCACCCAACGTTATTAATCAAGCAGGTAAAAAATTCTCATCTCAACACACCGAAAGCCACCCTCTTGTTTTAGGATATTATAAGAAGTTTTTGGTCATTCCTTTCTTTCCATCAATTTGCTATAAAATTGCACGTATTTTACAGAAATTTAACTTTCGGGTCATCTATTCTCCTATCAATAAAATTTCGAGTTCCATACTTTTCGAGAACCCCATTTCTGATATGAATTCCTTAGGTATTTACAGGATTCCTTGCCAGTGTGGTTTAATTTGCATTGGTGAAACTAAGAGAACCTTAATTTCGCGTTAAGGAACATGTGGCATATGTTAGGAAAAAGGAAACAGAGATATCCTCTGTTGCCCAGCATTGTTGGTCCGAAAATCATACTTTCAATTTTTCGGCAGCCAAAATTATTCAGACATCTTCCATTGGTGAATTAGATTATCTAGAGGCGTTTCACATTCAAAAAATTCTTTCTGTTCTAGTTAATGACCTTAATTCCAATCCATCTTTACATCCAGCCTTTAAGGAATTTATGTTTCAGTTTTCTTGTTTCATCAATAGATGGAGCCGGTAGCTTAACTCCTGTCAAGCCATTATCTTATAACTATATTTTATCTTCTTCATTTGCGCTTTAGCAGCTGAGGGTGATAGTTCGTTAAAAACCGTCGGTACTAGTCCTGTGGAATTTTGTTGTTTGACTTCCAAATTAACATTGTCGTAATTGTTCAGTGCTATATAAATTTAATATTCTTTTTATTTATCGTCAACAAGTTGTACCTGAAAATAAAGATGGTTCTCGAATTATCTACGAGAGCACGTTTCTTCAATATTTTGTAACGAAGTAATATTAAATGCACAGTCTCTTTTGTGTGGATTGCAAAGGGGAAATACAGAGATATACGTTTTACCGAGGTTGGTGTTCTTCGATCTGGCAGACATAAAATGGAAAAAAGAACAAATCTTATTATTAGGTTCCAAGCGTCTAGTCATTATTTTGTTAGAAGTTCAAACTGAGTCTTATGCAGCAATTAGTATCACCAAAGTGAAGGACTAGCTATAAGTAAATGCTCTGTGTCCAATAGGAAAAGCTTTGCATGGACAAGCTTTTTATCTCTTTACATTTTCATACTCAATTCTCAGCCTTTAAAAATTTCGTGTTAGTTTCCTGAATTTGCTCTACAGATAATACTGTCGTGGTAATTAGTGGTAATAATAAATATTTAGAAAAGATTTTATGTGTTATAAATTTGGTTGTTCTAGGATTTCAGTTAATTTTAGGAACTGAATCAGATAATCACTTATAATGGAAGGCCGAAAACAAGAATTCTTATCTTAAAGTAGCAAACCTAGTAACGTAGCCACAGAAGGTGCTACACATTGTCTTATAAATCTCAAATCCTCTCTTTAAATACACGCGAACTCACTTGTATTCTGCGCGAAAACCGAACGAGAAAATTATTCGCATAAATTCTAAAGATAAAATAACCGATTATTCAAGTTAAGGAAACCTCACCAGTGCATATTTAATGTATGTTCGTATGACTGATCCTAGAAATAATTTAAACCAGGGAAGAAGGTTCCACAAACAAACGTACTTTTTAAACTTAAATTCATTGATCTAACTTTTCTAATTAAGGGCATTTTTAAATATTTCGAACGTGTAGATCTCACATTCTGGTTCCCCAAGAAGAATTTCCCATTACCCTTGTACCAGCTCAGTACCTGTCCTCTTAATAAAGCGGTTGCTGTCGTGATCAGACCAAAAGTTTAACTGCCTTGAGTATTTGTTCGGGCGCAAAGGTTAAAAATCTTCCACTATTGGAACTGTGATTAACCTTTTCGTGGATTTTAAATGACTTATCATTCATTAACTCTGAAGTACAATTGAAAATTGAGAAGAGGGTAAAAGATCCTTTCTTTAAAATTTAAAAGGATGAACCGAAAACACACATAATGCTTATAATGCTGACATTATTTATGACCAGAATTTCAAAATAGAAGTTCAAAAGTAAAGCTGAATTTAAATAACTAATAGTCAAAGGCTATCAGAATAGTTTAACGCGAAATTGGCTCAGAACTTTACCGGTAAGTATTTAACTAATGCAAGGCCAAAGACAATCTTATCTTAAAGTAGTACACCCAGTAACATGACCACAAGAGGCGAAACACTCTCTCACTCTCTGTCTTAACAATCTCAAAACTTCCGAAACACTCTCTGTCTTAAATACACTCAAACTCATTTGCATTCTGGTGGATAAACACGGAAGGACAGAAGTGTTAGTTCAGATTTCAAACATAAAACAACTGCTTATTTAAATTAAAGAGACCTCAGATGCGCATATATAATATATGTTCGTATGATTGAGCCTAGAAATAAATAAATTCAGAAAAAAAAAAGACACGAACAGAACATTTATTAAACTTAAAATAAGGTAACGCTATCTAAACAGAAAGAAGACAAGTTCCTCAGTTTCCTCAGTTCAGTATTCCTCAGTTTTGTGCAGCTTTCCATAAAGTCAGTACTTGGCTTTCTGCAACAGTAGTAATACAGCCATAGAAGCTTGGCTATATGTAATAATATAAAAGAACTCTTTAGCTATAACCTCAAATTAGCTGCAACTAAAAGTACAGGCACCGTTTCCAATACCAGCTAACTTCCACACAGAACACCATCATAACTTTCACCCTCAAGAGAGGGATTGTTTAAACTTATGCAATAGGATCAACTTGTTTACAGGGATCTGTAACATGGCGTGAAAAGACCGAATTTTAGACACATAGACAAGGATTTGTTGAGGATGCTTACGCTCTCGTTGTACTCTCGCACATTACCAATCTGCAATGCATGATCATATGACTGAACCTAGAAATAAATTAAATCAGGGAACAAGACTCTACACACAAACAGAACATTTATTAAACTTAAAATAAGGGAACACAAAACCTAAAACGAAAGAAAAGAAGATATGGTCCTCAGTTCTGTGCAGCTTCTAGTAAGCCTGTATGGTCTCCCTGCAACAATAGTAATACAGTCATAGCAGCCTGGCTGTATGTATTAATAATAGAGAGTATCTTAGCTAATAGAACCTGGAATAAGCTCCAACCAGGAGTACAGGTACCACTTCCGTTACCAGGTAATTTTCACGTAGACCATCATTATCACTCACACCATCAAAGTAACGGATGATTGATACTTAGGCAAGCGGAACATTGATTTTTTTGCGTGATTGCTACTGAAATAGTGTACTGATTACTATCTTTTTGTTTTTCCAATACATGTCGCTGTTTAAACCCTCGGTATTGATAATATTGACTTACTAATTCTACAATCAAAATTGAAAATATACGAAAGTTTCCCAAAATTTTATATGGCCGTTTATTTCCATAATGTCCATGGGTACCACATTTAATGCTTTAATGTTTATTTTTCTACATCATCATTAATTTTCGAACACAAATTTTGAAATATTTTACTGTTAAACAAAGTTTTCGTATTGTTGATGGTGTATCGTTTTCGCTGATGTATTGAGGGCGTTCTGTCGGTAGCCTTTTACACACTTCTAAAATATTTTCTCTTTGCTTTTGGTACAGATCAATGGATTTTCAGCGAATCAATGAATTTCAGTGAATTTTATGATGAATTTAAATGTTTAAAACTATATTTAATAGATAGTTTATTTTATTTTCTGTGATAGGTTTCTTGTTTATTATGGAAAATAAATATTTTGTTAACACGATTGAAACTAAATTTCTTTTAAGTTTCATTATTTAGAATATTTGTCAATTTACAACAAAACGTCGGATTTTCTTCAACATTCATATGAACTTGAATTAAAAATTTAAAAATTCTTCAGATCTAAGAAAGTAAAGTTATTCCCACATATGTGTAAATATTCTTCTGATTCGAAGATTTTTCGAAGATTCCTTATAACACGCAGATTTACAAGTAGAGAAATAGAGCAGAACAACTATTCTGCAGCATCTAAGAGGTAAGTATCCGAAATTGATTGCCAACATTATTACTTTGCTCGAACCGTTCTTCAATTTCAGAAAGCAGAGCATATAATATCTGGAAGGTTTGTGCATTTTTCAAAATTCCCCTTTATTTGTTTTAATTTTTGTTGCAGTACGCAAATATTTCATTTAACCGCTCCATTATTCTGTTGTATTTGAAATCGTCGATGAATACCTTCGGGGTGCATTTCACATAAAAAAATATTCTGGTTTTTAAATTATGGGTACCTGCGTTTTGTCATAAGTATCAGCTTAGTTTCAAAAACATTAAATTAAATTACAAACAATGTATTCACATTTAAAATAACGTGCATGTAATTCAAACATAACTAGTTATCAAAACGGATCTTTGAGAGAAAGGAAGAGATACTGGTTAGGATTTAAGAAATAAAACTCACCGTGACACAACTGTTTAACTGGAAATGTGCCATCCTCGTAAAATGCCAACCAATAGCAAGACTTGCATCGTTGGTTTTCGATTTTCTTTTGTAGACACGAAAAAATACACATCTATTAAAAAACACATTTTATGTTCATTTATATATTTATATCACTTGCTGCCACAGTTAACGTAAATATGGTAAATTAACAAAAACTAAAATCAAAACAAAACTCACTTAATTCTAAACAAAAGCAGAAAAAATAATTCAAAATAAAGAAGGTTCTTGAGATATTCTTGTCTGTCAACAGGAAGCTGCTAGATCTTATGAAAATCTATCGGGTATTGATTCGTTTATAATAATTTTTAAATAAATCTTTTGAAACGAACACATTTTGTAGGAATAACATATATGTAACAATTTAGAAGAAGATATGAATACAGTTTTAATCATAACCGATGGTTGTAGATGATGCTGAGATATAGAATCCATATTTCCTGCAGTAGAATGACGGAACTTGCAGACAAACGTAGTTGAACATTCAAAACAGTTTTTTCTGTACAATAATCTTTAGTCTCATACTGTGGCTCACACATCATTACGAGAGCAATCTGCACACAATCTTCATCACTATCTTCATCATTATGGACGTTTACTGCATCTTAAAACAATGACTAGATGATGTTAAAGCAATTTATCTCAATCTTTTGGATGCTTCGGAAAAAAATCGCTTCTACGTTTTTGAAATTACTTTTTCCGGAAACTCTCAGCAAATCATTAAGTTAGTGAGAAATCGTGAAATGTCCTTCATTAACTTACTTTCACAATTACTTTAATCAGTTTATAATCACAAGTTGGAACCAAATACATTCTAAAGTTATTGTATAAAAAGTAACAAACATATTAAATGAGTATAATTTATAACAATACTCAAAATCTACAATATCATCAAATTTATCATATATCTGCAGCTATTAATATTATTTATGAATCTGAAACGCTATCTAATAAATGTTGTAGAAAATAGTTATAAATAATAGCTGGTAGCCACAGCAAAGAGGATTAAAAATAAGATAAATTTTGCTCACTTTTCTGGAAAGCGGCCCACTCCTATTGTTTTTCAGCCACTCTGCATAATAATTTCGGCATTCTGTGTCATAAGGTAAAGGCAGTCTTCTTTCTTCGACCTACGACAGGACAAAAAAAAAATTTCCGCTTTTACATCAATTTAGTATTGTCATTCAATCTCTTTAATTTTGATACCTACTCAAAGCATAATTTGTTGGTTCAACGCCACTCAGACGTGTACTACATTGCTTATTGTGTTCGCCAGCTTTAGGTGGAAGTAAGATAAATACAGCTTTAGTAACAGCGAAAAACATCGTGGAAGGAAACGTCACAAAAAAGCGAACGCAAGGCAAAAATGTATCGCGCAAATTATCGTAGGAGAAATACAAGCAAAAAGAAAACATCCCTGTTCGAACATATTGTACTATGACGATAAAATCGTTTATCCGGCTTTAAAAGTTTTACATATTTATTTAAATAGTGGTTTGTGAGCGCAAGAAGGAATAAAGACTACGTTAACTTCAATATTTATTATTTTTATATTAATTAATAAGTTTTGCAAAAACAGCAAGTAGAATACTTAAAACTTCAAAAACGGAAAATGAATGGAAAACTTTTGCAATGTATACCAGTTAATGTAATTTTAAACTTTCCGTTGCGTTTGCCTATGTTCGCCGTGCTTCGCTAGAATGTGAGGTCTAGCTTTTGCTGGCTGTCGTGAAGTGTAGTTGTTTGAAGCGCTGCATATGCTCGAATGTTTAAGTAGGTTCAGAGAATGGATAATAAAGGTCATTAATTAATGAATCGCTTTTATAAAATTTTACTGGTAGTTTTCATGAAAAATATAGCTTAAAAAAGGTTAGAAACTTGAAAAAGTGAATGATATTACCTACATTAAAATTGTTTAATTATTTATCAATCAGATTGTAAAATTATTTTCTTTTGCTTTGTTAATCTGGCACCCTTTTGGTAAAAAATAAATCATGATTCAGTTTATTCGTTTTGTTAAAATGTCATTAACGTATGCATGTGTTGCGTGAAGGCCGCAATAACGAACTAACTAAGCTAAGGAATAAACTGACTAATGAATCAACATCCAATTGAATGCTGATTCGTTAGTTGTAACAAAACACGTCAGTGAGTTTATTTAAGTGGAAGATATTGATTTATTAAATTACGGCAAAGCACACTACGGCTAACTGCCTAACGGAACGGATTCATTTGTCGACCACTTTTTCATAAACTGTCATGTATCTATATTATACGTTAGGAAAACAATGAAATCTCCTACAGCCAGCACGTTCACCATGTTGAACTACCATGTCGAGTGAAAAAACTTTATCGCTCGGAAAATAGTAGCTTTTGCGTCAGTCATCAGGAAAACACAAATTTAAAATATTTCATAGTAAATATAAAAGGAATTTTTTTCAGAAATAATATGTGATTACAATGACCTCTCTTTGAGACTATCTTAAACTTCACAGATTACGATTGTTTCTGAGAGTATGAAATAAGCATAGGTATTAACCCATTAACGGTTTGGCCCGGATTTTCTCGTTCTTTTATGCAGGTCTCTTAACGGTTCGTTACGGATTATTGTTAATTTAAATGTATCCTCGAAAACGGACAGTCCCGTGTTTTTGTATTATCGAAAAAACACGCTAAAAAGGACTAGCCCGTATTTTTGTATGTCTTCCAACCCCCAATGCCTAAGGCGACAAGGGTCCATGCAATTCTGACGACAATGGGTAATGGCTGTCATTAGCGTGGGGAGAAATCTTCTTGATGTTTTGGGATAAAGGCCTTACACTGACTCTAAAGAAACAAATTTATGACCAGTTACAAAGTGGATGCATATATAAAGGAATTTAAGAATTTCCGTTTTAGAGCAGTTATTGAATAAAAAAGAAATTTTTTACAAAATGAACGTTTACCTATAAGAGCATTAATGAATTAAAACGAGAAAAATAAAAGTAATAAATGCAAACATAAAAATCTGAAAAAATGCAAATCTTTCAGATTTTACATTAAGCACAAATGGCGTTTTTTTAACGGTTTGTGGGTTACCTTTATTTTTAAATATCATGTTCTTCGCACTTAAACCATAAAACTTCAGTTAAAACAGCAATACCGCAAAATAAATTTTAAATGAGCATAACTTTAGAATTTCCGATACACAGTCTCGTCCCGCCCGTGAGATAATTTTTTATTTTTTATTTTCATACAGTGTTGTCTTTGCTCGCTCTAAAATCGTTGAGTTTCTTAATTAAAAATTCATTGAAGTTTTACGAAATATGAAACATATAATAAAACAAATTCCAAATCTCGGCTTCGAGATGCCCATATTCGGTGGAAATGTACGTTATTCAAAATTGGATGGGTCTAGGTACCGTTGTTTTATCACAATGCGAGAAACATACAATATATTATGCAGATTATTCATTATTTAATTTTAAGGCAGATAGCCTCGAGTGCTTTGCCGTAATCTAATAAACCAAAACCATTATTTAATTTCTTTAAATATAATACAGGGCTGTAAATATGTGGTAGCAACAGTTTGGAAAAGTGAACTGACATAGTTTTCAACGGAAAATGAAAAAATGAAGTTAATAGACCTTCTCGGCTAACGCCCTTTGTTTTAAAAATAATGTATCGTGTAATTTAATGGGAATACGAGATTAATAATTCTCTTTAAGAAATTTATCTACAAATTTATATCACGAATAACAAAAGCGTGAGGCTGTCTTGATAAATTTATAAATATTATGCATCTGACAATGCGATTCAATTATTTGATTTCGTAATTTAAGAACCTATGATTCTTCTTATAAAACTGTACAGGAATTTAGCAAAGAAGCTATTAAGTAATCTCTTATTACCATTAATCTATGCGATAAATTATTATTATTATTATTACTATTGGTTCAGTCTTTTACTTCCAAGTATCTTTTACCTCAAATAACCCGAAAATATATATAAATTTAAAACAAAATTCGCCCCAAAATCAGAAATTAGGTTACGAATTTCATGCAAATTTTATTTCAAAAGATATTTTCCGCTCTGTAAAATGATGCAAACTAACTTAAAAATTTTGAGATTTTTAGTTTATTCTTAAATGGAAATATGCGCAAAAATTTTCTTCGACATTAAATTTTAAAAACTCTAAATCGAATTATTATCATCCGTAAACGGTGTGTGTACAAAATTTGAATTCAATAGCTTATCGATAAGTAGTTCAAAAATCGACGACAAGCTTTTGATTAAACACCGTGAATGAACTGAATACAATTTTTGGAACAACTCTATTTTTAAGCACTTTGGAAAGATCGGTAAGTTGTTGATATAGCATAACCGTTATTTTTATAACATTCTTGGCATTATGAAACGTATAAGTGACATTCATAAGCTATTCCAGACAGTTCTGTTCATTTGTCAAAGTGGCTGCTTTTGAAAATATTGTGAAGCTCACTCGATGTGCTCCTCTATCTATGATACTCATTAAAGATATTTAATTATGTTTTATTTCTATACAGAAATACTGGTAAAATTAAGAGGTCAAATATTTAATTATTGAGTTATATAACTACTTATACTGTCTCAAGAAATTTTGAGTCATTTTGTAAAAATAATCTTTTCTTTTTTAAATTCCTTTTTCGCCCCTACCCACTATGCTTCATGACTTTATTACTATTCTGATGAATGGAAGGTTTGTAGAGACATTACATTTTTTTTTAACAGCAAGAGACATGAAAAGTGAGCAATGCCTTACCCGGGACGCGAACCACGGACTTCTCGAATGCGCGCCGAGCGTACTGAGACCACGAAGGCATGCTAAAAGGGCGGGAGAAAATACCGTATATACTCCCCCTGGGACTGGGGATTAGGGGGACCGAAACGCCAAATCCAAATTATTTCATGCTTTTCCGGTTTTCCCTGACCGTTCCCACAAAAGCCGAACATTTGGGCAAAAACAGCCTTCCTATGATGTTAATTCCTTAGTAAAAGAGAAAGCACTGAACGGGGTAAAGTAGTAGAAATCTTGACTTTCCTTTTCACTCAAAATTCAAGCATTCCCAAAATCTACTATAAAAGATATACTCTCTAAGGTATAAAATTTTTGTGTAATGAAATATATATATATCATTGATGACATATATATATATCAATTAAACCATTAGACACACTTACACACATACATATACAGATATAGAATCACATAGTATCAGTAGGTGAAAGAAGAAAATAAATCCTACTGGTGAAAGATTGCTGAAGTGTGTGTGTGATTATGGCAAAGCCTCGAGGGCTATCTGCCTAAGGGGAGGGATGCCTTCGTGGAGGACTTTCTAAGGGAAACTGGCTCGTATACACGTTACACATGGGGAAAACCACGAAAACACCCATGCAGTCAGCCCGTTCGCGAGATTCGAACCTCGGACCGAACTACCAGTGTTCAGCGACTTTACCGCTCGGCCGCTGGTGGGCGAAAGATTGCTGAAGAAATTCAAAGCATAATGAAAGTTTCTTTTATCTTGGAATCAAAGAACTTTTTTATCGCTTTAGTTTTTGGGAGAGTATTAGATTAAAATGTAATAAATAAATAAGTATATGGAAGAAAAATAAATCTTTAAATGAAGAAAAAGGAAAAATAGAACCAAACAATCAAATCATTTTCAGCATTAAAACCAATTTTAAATGCGACAGTATATTTTTCTGCCGACAACGAAAACTTAAAAAATAGACAGAAATCTGCATTGTTTCACCTATCAATATACGACAAATGGAAAAACGAAAACGATACAAGAAAAAGTAAATTTGAAAAAATTTGCGAAAGCGGAATAATTTCGAATGTTGCAGAAACAGAAAGATACCATGCAGAGACATTGCATTTTTTTCGAAGCACGAAATGCGAAAATTCAGCAGTGCCCTCATTATGCTTTTAATAAGGAGGTCTTCCAAATTCTAGCTGAAAGAACTTTCATTTATAACAAGATAGTAAGAATGGCATAATTCCTTATTACTTGTTTTCATTTGAAGGGTGAGAGAGAAGAAGCATGAGACACTGTCGGAATAATTCATGTGTTAACGAAATTATCGTCTGACATGTTTTCGTGTTGGGGTG